CAGCCAAGAAGAGCTGAGGAGACTCAACTGGCCCAAGGAGTGTCCTGCAGCACCCACAGAGGCAGGTCCCCTCTCCAGGGGGAAAACAGACTCTTCCCAGCAGCTCTTTAATTCCACACTACATGAACAATTAAAATATTCATAACTATTTAAAACGAGGAAATTAAAATGACTTAAAGGCATGAAAAGCTTGTTTATGAAGCATGAATATTTCATTAGCAAAAGCACAAATGAAACCAGGCTTTCCCATAATATTTCCCCTGCTGGGATTAAATACAGTTTACAACCTCATGTGAAGCCAAACCTCTGCCACCACAACTTCAACCCAAAATATGAATGTTTCAGATGGTGCTGGAAAGACAAGGAATGTGGTGTAAAAACATCAATGCAATACAGACACCACCCTTCACTCCAAACCTGGAAATGAGGTTAAACAAGGGAAGAGCAGAAAGGGTAGGAAACAAAGCAAGAATCCAATGGGATCCACATCCCTGCTGGGATTTTGGCCTCTCAGAACTTCAAGTTCATCCCTGGAATGCCCAAGGCCAGGCTGGACGGGGCTTGGAGCAACCTGGGCTGGTGGAAGGTGTCCCTGCCTGTGGCAGGGGGTGGCACTGGATGAGCTTCCAACCCAAACCAGTCTGTGATTTTATGATTCTGAAGCCCAATTTTTCATGATTTTAAAGCTCAAGTCCCTGTTTCAGTTTGCTACAAGGTTTTTCTAGGGCTCCAGCCCACGCCCAGCACAGCAAACACTTCCCTCAGCAGCAAACACTCACAGAACGTTCTCAGAGCAGTTCTACATTTCTCAGTACAGATTCCTGATGCCAAAAACCTTAATAATCACAAAAAATATGACCAGTCTTTCAAAAGTGTCTGCAATAAATAGGAACTTAGAACTGTTGGGGTGTCCTGTGCAGTTGGACTCGGTGATGCTGATGGGTCCCTTCCAGCTCAACATATTCTATGTTTCTATGATTAATTTGAAAATGCTGGGATTTGTGCTATAAAATACTCGAGAAACAGTTGAAAAACTACCTTTTAACACTTTTTTTTTTTAACTGTGTTTTTATGAAGTGCTGCTGGAAGAGGCCAGAAATCACCACACGTGCAGGGAGACAACTGCAAGGACTATGAAACCCCAGCTCTTTGCACCACATCCTCAGGCTCAGGTGGGCTGGGATGACCAGGAACCACCTGAGCAGCAACTACAGGCTTCCCCTGTGGGTTTTGTGCTGGAACTAGTTGAAAAAAAAAAAGAGGAAAACAACCCAAAATTCATTTTATGATCATTACAAATCACCAGGTGCTCTCCCTGCCTTCCTTTCATGCATGCTTCAGTTCTTTAATAACAGTGACACAGCTCTGGTGTGTTCCCAGGAGGGGATTTGCACAGTCAGTGCTGATCAAAAATGAGCAACTCGCTGGAAAGCAGGAGAAGATGAGTCAGGTGGCACCTGCTCCCGAGGCAGATGTGGGAACACAAAGACGCAGCTCACGTGAGACTGCCCAAAACACTCCCTGATGCTGCAATAATATTGTCTGCTTTTCCCCTGCCTTCCAGAGCCCTCAGCTGGGATTCAGGGGTGCTGGGGTTACCCATGGTTGGGATGGATCAGGTTTTACTCTCCAGCAGCTGCTCTGAGCTGACTCCTGCAGCCATCCCTGAGCCTGCAGAACAGAGAATTTGGGAACTCCAGCTCTCCCTCTCTGCATTCCACATTCTGTTTTTAGAGCCCTGAAGTTTGATTTCTTTATCAAGACTGTGCAGAACACTCTTTGCAGGGTAAGATGAGAAACAATCTATAAACCAGGATTTTTTGTATTTGTGAACAATAACCTCCTTGCCCTCTTCCTTATCCAGAAGTAAATTAAAAATGATCCCTTTCACCACTTGAAATGTTCTCTGGGGTGCAGTGAAAAACAAGGTGCTGCAGAGTTTCCTGTCTCTCTTACCCAACAGTTCCCACCGAATTTCATTCACACCACAGTGTCTGCAAAAGCTGAGCAGCTCTGGCCCCTCCAACAATCCCTCTCCACAAGCACCACCTTGCTCCACCTGCTGTGGAACAGTCACAATCACAAAGTCAAACCCACTGAAATAAAGAGTTTTATTAATCCAAAGCAGGATGTTCTCCCTTTCCTTACTCGAGTACAAATAAATACTTGGCTGCCACTGAGAGACCCGAGAGCTGCTGGACACGAAAAAGATTCCCTGTTTTAAGGAATCTTTTAATTAATGTGACATCCACTGACAGGAATTGAAATGCCAACCCCTCCTGCAGCAGAGCACCTGCCCCCAGAGGGGAGCAGGGACTGTCTGAAGTCAGCTGCTGATGCACAAACTGCTCAAATTCGGCTGTTTGTAACAATTCTGATTTACAAACCCCTCAAGGAACAATTGTCTGGTAAAGCTTTGGAGGTTTCTCTAAAGAAACAAAGTTACTGAGTCCACACTAACTGTTCCCACAGTCCTGCTTTCATCATTTTTTCAATTATTCTGATGACTAAGAATCAAAACCAGAGGCTGGGACTGAGAACTGAGGCATTCAAGGACAGGATGAGTTTTATTTACAATAAATTGTAACATTCAGTGACTGCTGAGTGTCCAGTGAAAGAGCCAGTTCATTAAGGAGCTGTAAGACATGGCCATGAAAAAGTCCTGACACTGTGATATTCCTGCTGAATCACCACCCAAACCTACAAATAACTGGGCACGAGTGCAGGGCTGGGAAAGGAGGCAGTAAAGTCCCACTGCATCCACCCCCCTACCCAGACACGCTTCACCCAGCCCACGTCAGCACCACCAAACTCAAATATTACAGCAATGAAAAGTGCAACTTCACCCTTTCTCTTTTTCCCACTAGAGACATCCCTGGGGAAATATCCTCGTGTGCACGAGAGTGGTGTGATTTCAATTCCACCCACACCGGGGCTCACTTGGGAACTAAATCCAGCACAGCCCGTCGTGGGTCAGGCAGTGACCCCGAACAGAAATAGCTCTGGCAGAAAGCTGGATTTATGGAAAAGGGTGGAGCCCATCCCAGTGTAAAGTGAACAAACCCACCGCTGGAACTGAAGGATGGAGCAGCACCGATCCCTCAGCACAGGAGCAGCACAAAGGTGACTCTGTGCCATCTGCACAAGGTGACACCCCACCCCTGGGCAGGGCAGGATCCGGGCTGGCAGCTGGGTCTGACACAACTCCACACGTGGCAGCAGCAAGAGCTGATTGCCCTCTCCAGAGCAGTAAAACATGAGAGCAGCCTGAGCATTGTGGGACACCGGGAGAGATGTTCTGACAACACCCTCAGGCACAATCAGCAACAGCACAGAGGAAAAAATAAATCAAGTTACACACCAGGATCCAGAACCACCGGCTTGTTCTCTTGTTCTGCTCATCCTTTCATACAAAATTAGCCAAGTCTGCCCCTGCAAGGCGCCTCTCAACTAATTAATTTCATTCCTTAAGGCAGCCAACATCCTATGTTGATTTTTCAGCTATCTAGCAATCCTTTTCCAATCCTTCATTGTACTGGAAATGACAAGGTACATCTGAGAATTACACATTAACCAAAGAATAAAACCCCAAGAACAAACCGTGACACACAAGTTTCCTGCTAATTACAGGAAATTAGCAGGAGCCCTTTCTAATATGATTAGAATGCCACGGAGTGCCCAAATGAACAACAAATTTAAACTGTTAGAGGCACTGCAAAACACACTTAAATCTGTCACCGCCTCATGCTCAAAGCTCAACCATTCTCATTGCATTTTTCTTGGTATTTAAGCACAAATGCCCTCTCTGCCCAAAGAGAAATCCAAAACAGAAAAGGAAAATGACACGAAGTATTCTGGTTGTTATTACACCTCGCGGGATGCGAGCCCTGACCCTGCAGGACACGGGTACATCCGTGCGGCACAAAGGTTCCCGAGCACTCAGCGGCTGATGCAGCCAGACCACAAAACCTACAGATCTCCCCCAGAGGAGGCATCGCAGCTGCCCGAAAAAGCTTAATTTTCTCCTTCCTCAGTAGTTTTAAGCCTGCTGAGGGAGCTTAGCCCCCCTCTCTTCCCTCGGGTACCGCCAGAGTCACCCCCAGGTGTGTCCAACACCCACACGGACCCGACGAGTCATTGATTCCACCCATCCCCGGACCCCGAGCGGCAGGAGAGGAACAGGCAGTGAAGCCTGGGGGACACAGCCAGTAAATCACATTTTTATCCCCAGATCTCCCCCCGCAATTCTCAAATCCTTGCACAAGCAGGGGCACGGGAGTTTATCGGGAAGGGCTCCCATGAATGTTTTATAGCGGAAAGTGAAAGGCAGCCTCGGGGTCCCCCCGGCTCTGCCAGCGCTGCCCGGGATTGAGTTGGACTTCCCAGAGGGAACAGGCAGGAAAACGCGGATCTTCCCGGCACCCATCGCATCCACAGGGGAAATAAAACCGTAAAGACGAGGAAATGTTAACGCACGACTCCAGGCTGGAGCAACCTTGGACTTGGAGACTTTTATTGCTCTTTTTTGTTTGTTTTTTTCCTCCAAAGCGACTTCGCAGGGCTCAGCACAGGCGAGGGGAGCGGGGCAGGTTGTCCAGGGAAGCTGTGCCTGGCCCATCCCTGGGCCACGCTGGGATACTGGCAGGTGTCCCTGCCCACGGTGGAGGGTGGAATGGGATGATTTTACGGCTCCTTCCCACCCAAGCCATTCCATGACTCTGGGATATAGGCTAAGATCGACAACACGCTGTTTAAAAGTAAAGTCCTCAAGGTCCCTTCGCTCCCAAACCCTCCCTGGTCCCACGAGGCAGGTGGGTCTGGACAGGGGGATACGGGGGCAGTTTCCCCGAGCGATGACAGAGCACCCTCACACCCACCCGGCTTTCCCGTTCCATGGAAAAACCCCCAATCCCTGACCCCCCTCACCCAGCCCGGGGGGTGTGAGGGGATAACCCCCCCGGGGCAGCCCGGCCGGGGGTCCCCGCCCGCCCCTCACTCACCGCAGCCGCAGGTTCGCCATGAACTCGGGCATGGTCACGGCGTCCATCAGCACGAAGTCGGCTTTGCCGAACTCCAGGCTCTCCTGCTCCGCCATGGCGGCCGCGGGGCGCGTCCGGGGGGCCGGGACGAGAGCGGGACGGGGACGGCGGCGGGACAGTCCCGGCTGTAGGACCGGCTGTAGGACCGGCTGTAGGACCGGCCTCAGGACCCGCCTCAGGACCCGCCTCAGGACCCGCCTCAGGACCCGCCTCAGGCGCCGCTCCCCGGGCGGGGGGGGTGTGGGGGGGTCACCTGCGGGGGGGCGGGGCCGGGCCCGCGCTCAGCGCCCCCTGGCGGCCGCACGCGGCACTGCCCCCCCGGCCGGAGCGGGGCGGAGCGGGACGGGAGCGCCCCCTGGCGGCGGGACAGGGCCGGGATGGGGCCGGGATCCAGGGAAAAGGGGGGCCTGGGATGGTTCGGGGGGAGAGGATTCCTTCCCGGAGTGTATCCTGGACACAGGGGAGCCCCCTGCCCCAAGCACAGGGTGCTGAGGGGTCGCATTCTGCAGCCGGGAGACTCCTCAGGATGAGGGGCTTTGGGGTGCTGCCTTTCAGCTGGAGAAGTCTTCCTTCCCGGGGTGTATCCTGGAGCCGGGGGAGCCCCCCCTCCCGGAGCACAGATCCTGAGGGGTCGCATTCTGCACCATCAGACCCCCGGGATGAGGAGCGCAGGGTGCTCCGGGAGTGGGGGGGTCAAATCGGGGGAATTCCTTCCCGGGGTGTATCCTGGACGCGAGGAGTGCTCCCTCCCCAGCCCAGGGTGCTAAAGGGTCACATCTTCTATGTGTGAGACCCTCTGCCCCAGCACAGGGTGCTAAGGGGTCGCATCCTGCACACGTGGAGACCCCCCGGATGGGGGTCTGCAGGGTGCTGTCCTCCAGCTGGAGGAGTCTTCCCTCTTGGGGTGTATCCTGCACCCAGGGGAGCCCCTGCCCTAAGCACAGGGTGCTGAAGAGTCACATTCTGCACGTGGGGAGATGCTCCCCCCAAAACAAGCTGTCACATCCTCTACCTGGGGAGCCCCCACCCCACAGAACAGGCTGCTAAGGGGTTACATTCTACAGCTTGAGAGACCCCCCCTCTCCCCAGCCCAAAGTGCCTCAGGAGTGGATCCTGCATTTGGAATGTGCCACATCCAGCACCCTATGGAATCTCCATCCCAGGGCAGGGCTGGATCCTGCACCTGGGGGACACCTTTCCCTCAGCAGAGACAAATCCTGTACCCCAGGATCCCCCACCCCTCCTCACAGTGTCCTGCAGGGACACCCACCCCCATCCCATATCCTGCAGAAAACCCCCACAAAGACCCTGCAGGGTCAGGGGCTGCACCCCAGGGATCCCCCTCCTCAAAAAACCACATCCTGGACACACTGACCCCTTTTGCTGCACCCCAGCACCAGGAAGAACACCACAGCACATGGTCCTGCACCAAGAGGGGAGAAAGCAGATCCTGCACCCAGGGGATACCCCACCCAGGGGATCCCCCACCCCAGGATCCCACAGGCAGGGTCAGGCCCTGCCCCCAGCACCCCTGGGTGCCCCCCAGACCCTGCTCACTGTGGCACTTACTGAACCCCCAGAAACCCCCCAAATTAATGCAGAATAAACCACATAAAAAGTCCCCCAGGAACACCCCAGTACCATCCAGAACCAGCCACCTCGGGCTAATTACATCAATGATACTAATCAGTGCACTGGGAACAGGGCCAGATTCACCCCAGAGAACATTTTGGGCAAGAATGGTTGGTTTGGGTGTAGGAGATGGGTGTGCAGGTGTGAGGTGGTGTGGCCATCCCTGTGCTTGTCCTCATCCCCACCCCTGCAGCTCCCAGACTGTTCTGAGTGGGAAGGGACCCACAAGGATCAGTGAGTCCAGCTCTCAAGTGAATGATGCCCATAGGGATGGAGCCCAAACCTTGGCTTTGTCAGCACCAGGCTCCAACCAGCTGAGCTCATCTCGGGCTCTGGGTGGGCCCTGGTGGCTGCAGCCCCAGCTGAAAGCAATGAGCTCCCTCCCTATTTATAGGCAGCAGGTTCCCCTTCCCTGTGTGCTCCCGGGGGAGGAGGAGGCTGGAGGAGCTGTCAGAGGTGAGCTGAGAAGGAGAAAAATTCTCCCCCCAATTCTCTAAAATACTCTATTTGTGCTTTACTTTCTGGTGCATTTGGTTCTGTGGAGGGTGTCTTTTGGTTTTGTTTCTGTAATATACTGAATGTTTCTGGTGTTAGTGCAAGTGCCTAATTTGCACAATGCCAATTAGTGCCCCAGGAAGAGCAGGGGAAGGGGGAGCTGTGGAGGGCAGCAGCGTGTTCAGCCCCTGCTCTGTTCTCCCTTGGCAGAAGTGTTGGATCCACAGCAGCTGAGTGTCACCCCAGCACTGTGAGTGGGCAGCAGGGATGGAACCAGGACCCCCAGGCTCCCCTGACCCCCCGAGGGAGAAGGCAGCAGATGGATGTGCCTGGCAGAGCCTCCTCTGCCTCCAGTCCCACAGGCAGAAGAGGAAGGTGGCTTATTCTGCCTACATGCACAAGCTCCTAAACCAGGTAGTCTTGACTGGGCTGGGGTGCAGTCTCCTGCTTCCCAAGCTCAGCTTGGTCATCCATGTATCCAAGCCTGGATGGTGTGTGTTTGGCTGTGCTGGGGAGTCTTTGACTCTTCCCTGGCTGCCCAGGGCAGTGGTGGAATCCCCATCCCTGGAGGTGTTTAAAAGACACGTGGATGTGGCACTTGGGGACGTGGGTTAGGGGTGGCCTTGGCAGTGCTGGAGGAACAGCTGGATTTGCTGATCTTGGAGGGCTTTTCCAACCTGAATTATTCCATGATTCCAGCACGAAGCTGTGGGGGCTGGGCGGTGCCGGCGGCTCCTGGAGCTGTGCTGATGCTGTTGGTTGCTCTCCCCACAGACATGGTCCTCTGGAGATTCCTGCTGGGTGGTTTCCGCCCTGGCTGGGCTGGGCAGCCCGTGGCTCCTCGGGGATGTGGCGCTGGAGGCTGCCAGGCTGTCCCGCGGCAGCCGCAGGAGCCGCCCCGGCCGCCGGGAGGTCCTGCTGGCCATGAAAGTGGTGCTGCTGCAGGAGCTCTACAAGCCTCCTCCGGGACCCTGAGCCGTGAGCCGAGGCAGGACGGGACAGTCTTTAGAGTATTTTAACGTGGATTTGGTAAATAAAGTATTTATTGGCATCGCTTAACAGAGTCTCCTGCCTGGGCCGGGACCGAGAGCAGCGGGTGGGCTCAGGCTGGGTACGTGTGTGCCCCGGGAAGGGGGGCAGGAGGAGGGTGTGAGGGCTGGGTACGTGTGTGCCCCGGGAAGGGGGGCAGGAGGAGGGGGCTCTCACGCCTGACTCGGGGAGCACTTGCAGAGCAGCCCTGCTGGCAGGTCAGTGGTCCCCGGGGGTCCAAAGGGCCCCGCTGGGCGCAGGAACCTCTTTGCTCTGGCAGCCCAGACTGTTGGGGGCTGTGGGGCAGCTGGACGCCTCTCTGTGCTGGGTTTGGCCAGGGAAGGGGGAGGAGGAAAGGTGGGTGGGAAATGCCAGGCTCGGAGGCAGCAGCATTCCCTGGCCGTGCTGTGTCGGGTGGCGGCGCTGGGGACTCGTTTCTGGGCTCTCATCCCGGGGATGTCTCCGGGTTCTCCTGCCTTGCAGCTTCCAATCCCACCGTGGGGGTGGTCGGGGTGGGTGGCAGTGCCTGAGCTCTCCCCTTCCCAGGGAGGGGTTCCCGGTCCCAGGGAAGTGCCACCAGCTCCTGGCAGTGCTGGGACACCCTCCCTGCAGCAGCTTTCCCAGCCGCTGAGCTCTTCTCCCAGAAGCACGGGCAGGAGGCTGGGAAAGGGGATGTCCCTTTGTCACCTCGTGCTGCTGGTGTGAGCTGAAGGCTGTGAAATGTCCCCAGAGCCACCCCTGCAGCTGCCTCACCTGGTGGGCACTGCTGGCCTTGGGGACACTGGCTGGGCTGGGTGGTGGCAGGTGTGGCAGTGTCACACGGGGACAGTGGGTGTCACTGGTGTGCAGCAGCTCGTGGCTGTGACTGAGGTGGCTCTGGCTCTGTCCCCAGCCTGCTCCTGTTTGCACCCCCCTGGGTGTATCCAGACCTGTGCAGTGCCACGGGCTGTCACCTACCCGTGTCCTTTGCCTGCTTCCACAGTAAATATCGGGATAACTGCTGCCCTCGAGGAGCAAGTGCTGCCCAAGGACTGAGGGTTCAGGGGCTGGGCCCAGGGGAAGGCTGGGTTTTGATGCCTCAGCTGCTGTCCTGGCACATTGTCACTCCTGTGCTGAGGGGCTTCAGCTCACCCCCAGCCCCCATTCCAGCAGCCCTGACTCTTTGGGTTGATTAGGGTTTGGCTAAAATCCATGGATTTAGAGTCAAGTCCTATAGGAAAGTCCTAGACTTTGCAGAAGGAAGGGTAGCAGCTGACCTTGAGGAAAATACCCAGGCACCCACAGCATTCCTGTGTGGAACTCTGTTCAACCTGCCCCAAAAGCTCAGCAGAGGAGGAGGAAGGGGATCATTCCATACTCTGTGATACCATCTGGTTTGAAGCTTCATCACCCTGTCAGGGTGTTTCTCTTGTGTTACAGCACAGAAAAGCTGAGAAGAACATTCACTGCTTCTTGTCCCTGCAGATGGTCCAGACCACTTGCCCTCTCTTTTTCTCTCCTGCTTTATTTATGTCTTTGGAACCTCAGCTGCTGCTGGGAGGGTGACATGTGGAGCAGCTCTTCTGCAGGGAGGCCATGGGACTCTTGAACCTCTCCAGGAACTGTGCAGAGGATCTCTCCTGCCTGGAACTGAGACTGAGCCTGGAGCAACCCCCAGCTCTGAGGGGAAGCAGCTGGAGCAGAGGAGCTGCTGGGAGAGATCAGTAGGGGAGGTTCCTGGGCAGGAGAGGAGTTTGTTATCACCTGAAAACCTTTAGCTCACCTGGGCTCTAGACAGACAAAATGTTGGCTGGCACAGGTTGCCCAGAGAAGCTGTGGCTGCCCCTGGATCCCTGGAAATGTCCAAGGCCAGGTTGGAGCAGCCTGGGCTGGTGGAAGGTGTCCCTGCCCATGGCAGGGGGTGGCACTGGATGGGCTTTAAGGCCTCTTCTAAGTTAATCCATCCCATAATTCTATAAGGATGTTCTCTGATCTCTTAACTAATCATCTGCCTGGTTTCCCTTTAAAAACATGAGGTTTTGGTCAATTATATTGATCCTTCATTTTTTCTTTTTTTCCTGAGCCTCCTCTGATATTTCTTCTGTTTCATTAGTCAGGGCACCTTCCTCCTTTCCACAGTTCCACTGCTGGTAAATGGCTCCATGGCCCCCCCCCAGCCTTAACCATCTGTGCCCTTTCCTCTTCTCTGCTTTTTCAAAAAGGGGAAGTAATAAAGAAAATTACACAACACATCAAATTTTCCAGCCCGACACACACACGGTGATGTTACAGTCTGGAACCAGGGAGGAGGATGTTAAACTCTAAACAAACTGAATATTGAGCTTCCAGGATTTGGGGATTGAAAGTGGATACTGTCTTCTTTTATGGAGTTTTCCAGGAAGCTTTCTGAAGACAGAAATGAGACTTCCCAAGTCTGTCATGTGCCTGTGGCACAAATATGTGCCCATTTACACTGGGAGAACATCAACATCCCCTCTCAGGTCAGTGTGTGCAGAGCCAGACACCCTGTAAAAGAACCCAGAGGAAGCAGAGTCCTCAAGGCCTTTGCTTCTCATAAGGGGAAATCTTTCCCAAATGTGTTCCTGAGAATCCTCTGGAGGATGTTTGTTTGTCTCCCTGGGATGAGGGGGTGGAGGAGCTGGAGGCAGCAGGAGGGGTGACGGGAATGTCCCTCAGTGACATCCAACAGCTTCATTTCCTCTCCAGGAAGGAATTGCCCCGTGGCAAAGCTTCACTATGAGCCACTCTGTATTTACATACAAGCCTTGTGATTCCCCAGGCTGAGCAGAGCTGGGAATGCAGCCAAACCCACCAGACTCATCCAAACAGAAGGGAAACATCTTGAGATGTTCCCCAGGTCTGACTGTGGCAGCCTGGATAAAAATGCCATCCCTGTGGCCTGGAGACAGGGGGCTGAGCCACAGCCAGCCCTGACAGCACAGAGAGGGCTCTTCTGGAGAAGAGAAGGCTCCAGGGAGACCTGAGAGCCCCTTCCAGGGCCTAAAAGAGCTCCAGGAGAGCTGGAGAGGGACTGGGGACAAGGGATGGAGGGACAGGACACAGGGAATGGCTTCCCACTGCCAGAGGGCAGGGACAGATGGGATATTGGGAAGAAATCCTTCCCTAGGAGGGTGGGGAGGCCCTGGCACAGGTTGCCCAGAGAAGCTGTGGCTGCCCCTGGATCCCTGGAAGTGTCCAAGGCCAGGCTGGACAGGGCTTGGAGCAACCTGGGCTGGTGGAAGGTGTCCCTGCCCATGGCAGGGGGTGGCACTGGGTGGGTTTTAATGTCCCTTCCACCCAAACCATTCTAGGATTTTATAACAAGGGTGACCATTGCAATCCCAGGCTCCTGCACTCTGAGAGCACAGCAGTGTGTGTGGGGGGGGTTGTTACCCTGTTACCCCCCAGTGACATCCAAATGGTTCTGATTAAAACTCTTAAAAACACAGAAAGGAAGTTTTTACAGTCTCAAGGCCTTTGACAACACTCACCCAGCTCCAGGGTCACTCCATGATGTCCCCATGGTGGTTCTCCATCCTTCCCCTACATGTCATGGGCCTGAGGCAGCTGGAGAGTCAGTGAGGGGAGTGAAACCATCCAAAATCCCCTCTGGGAGGGGAGGGTTGGGATCAGGGCTGAGGGCAGTGAGGGGCTGCTGGAAACAGCAGTGGAGAAGCAGAGCTGGAGGGGTGATTCCAACACACCCCACACAACTCAAACCCCTCACCACGGATGTTTGTTCCACGGTGTTCCAAATTCCTGGGAAGATCTCACAGACACCTAGGCTCCCAATGCCAAAAGAGTGTCACAGGTATTTCCTGTCTCTGACAATCTCTGAAATCTCTGGATCTCACACAAGTTGGCACCGTGAGCTCAGCTCTGTGGTGTCATCCCATGCAGCTCAAACCCCTCCTGTGGGATGTTTGTTTAATCCGTGCTTTTTCCCCTTAAAACTTCCCCCAGGGGAGCCTCAGCACCAGAGAACCTGTCCTGGGCTGGATTTACACCCAGCCAGCCCCCAGTGTCTGGTTAAAGCTCTTACCACAGCTCCCCCTGTGATTCCTCATCCTCTCCAGGCAGGCCCTGAGCAGTTTATTCCCTTCTTTTCCGTGGCAGCCTTTTGTTTGTTGAGGAGGGTTCTCCCAGCAGGGCAGGAAGTGCAGCTGTGAAGGGGAGGCTGGAGGTCAGTTCATCCCCAGCTGTCCCAGGCTTGGCTCCTCTGGACCAAACAATTCTTTCACTCCTCCCTCAGAGATCCTATTTTCTAGATTTCCTCTAACCTAGATTAGAAAGAAAAAAGGACCATTTTTCAGGAACTGCTGTAGTAAGGAAGGAGCAAGTGGCAAGTGTCCTTGGAGGTGGGATCTGCTGAGGGGTTCCAAGCTCTCCTGTCATCCTGTGAGCATTGCAGGAGCACGGGATGGGAAGCCAAGGCAGCAAAGCACTTCTGAAAGGACCAACCTCTTTTGTCCAGGCTCCAAAAACCAAAAGGATCGTACCAAATAAATATCCAGCTCCATCAGAATTTCTCATCCCTACTGATGTGACCTAAAGGATCCTGAACCTTATCGTTTTCATGAAAATAGGGGATTTATTGGGTTTTCTTTATCCATCAGCTCTTTCACTTTCTGTAGATGCCTCAAGCAATAACACAGAGCACCCTCACCCACAGCAGCACTCACCTGCCCTCCCCTGCCCTGGGCCAAAGGGAGAGGGCATAATGCTGCTTATCCTGACCAGAAAAGAAACAGCTCCTAATTTACCTAGCAAAAGAAAAAAAAAATATTTTGAAGGATAATTACAGTCTCCCTAAATTGGTTTTTTCCCCCTGGAATTCTATTCTATTCTATTCTATTCTATTCTATTCTATTCTATTCTATTCTATTCTATCCTATTCTATTCTATTCCATTCCATTCCATTCCATTTTATTCTTCTCTTCTCTTCTCTTCTCTTCTCTTCCCATACCTTCCCTTCCCAAACCTTCCCTTCCCTTTCTCCCTTCTCTTCCCTTTTCTCTTCCATTCCACCCTAAGTTAACCCAGCTGCAGTGGGACACCATTCCAAGTGGGAATTCTAATCTAAGGGGCAGGTTTCCAGCTGCCAAAGGTGCAGTGAAATGCCTGGGAAGATCCCTCACAGACACCTGGGCTCCCAATGCCAAAAGAATGTCACAGGTATTTCCTTCATCTCATAATCTTTCAAATCCCTGGATCTCACACAGGTTGGCACCTGAGCTCAGCTCTGTGATATCAGCACAGCTCAGCAGACAACCATCCATCCATTCATCATCCCACATCTGCCATCCCAGCAGAAGGAGCTCCTGAGGGCATGAACTTCCCCAATCAGTCACTGAAAGGTGTTGGGAAGAGGCTTCTTCCCAAGCACTCCAGCACAGCAGCCGGGCCTGGGGCTCTCCTGGCCCTGGGAGAGCAGTCCCAGGTGGAGTCAGACACGGCCAAGGACAGCAGAGCTGTGAGCCATGACCTTCAGTTCCTCTGTGCTCCACTTCCTGGGGAAGCTGGGAATGGCTCTGTGGAAGAGCCAAAAAAACCCCAAAATCAAGAATGGGGAGGCCCTGGCACAGGGTGCCCAGAGAAGCTGTGGCTGCCCCAGCCCTGGAAGTGTCCAAGGCCAGGTTGGACGGGTTGGAGCAACCTGGGCTGGTGGAAGGTGTCCCTCCTCTCCTACTAGAACGAGATATCTTTAATGTCCCTTCCAACCCCAACCATTCCATGATTCTGTGGGTGTAGCTGAGCTTTCAAAAGAAATACAACAGCCAAGGAGAGGTCCTGGAAGTCCACCTCAGTGGTTTCCAACCAGCTGGGCATGAAAAAGTTTTCCCTGGACCCTGGAGCCCAGGACTTCTCCGGCTGCCAGAATTCATGACCAGCAGAACTCAGCCAAAGGAGAGTTCTGTGGATTTAAAGTGAAGCGATGGAGGGCACGTTGTTCACCCAGGGAAATGAGGACACAGAGTGTGGTACAGAAAGACACAAGGACGGGGAGTTTGACCCAGAAGAAGCCAAGGGCCGGAGGGAAATAAGTGAAAAGAGACGTGGAACCGCACGAAGCTCCAGCCCGCTCGTTTCCCCGGGTCCCTCTGGATGGCAGCACAACCCTCTGCTCCAGTAGCCGCTCGCTGGGTTCGTGTCGGTGGCAAACACCGTGTCCCGTCATCCAGGTCAGTAATGGAGATGCATTCCCAGCAGGAAGCTCTAGGGAAGAGCAGGAGGAAAATGTTTCAGGTTGAAGGAGCCAAAGAAGCAGGGACAGGGTTGTTGTGCTCCAAACAAAGCCAGGACCATCCCAATGTTGGGTGGGCGAGCCCTGCCATGGCTCGGCCAGCGGCTCCTGCAGCCTCCCCACAACTCCCAGGTCTGTTCGGGGTTCCAGGGCTGCAGCTGACCCTGCACTGCCCTCGTCCTGCCGCCAGGGTCTGCCTGCCGGTGTCCCCATCCCTGTCCCACGGGCATGCTCTGACCACAGCAAGGCCACCCAGAGAGCTCAGGGACTCACTGGCCACCGATACAAACACACAGGAAATCTCTCCCCAGCTTCTTTCCTCCTCCTGTCCCCTCTCTCCTGGTACCACCACAAAAGGCTCAGCCCCTCTCACTGCTCCCCAGCTTGGTTCTCCTGCTCTGCTCTTCCAGCCTGTCCCCAGCTGGGTTCTCCTCTCTGCAAACATTCCAGGACCTTCACATCCTGCTCAAGTAGTGGGGCCCAGAACTGCACACAGTTCCTATGTATAGGATCGGGGTTACTGGGATTTAGGATGGGGAAACTGGGCTCTAGAAGGTGGGATGAGGGACCACAGGCAGACTGGGAGTTTACATCAGCAGCCTGGAAAATCTGGAGCGGGATTGGGATCCCACAGCCCTGGTGCCACTGATGGCTCAGGAAAGACTGCATCCCTGGCAGTTCCCATGGGGGAGCAGAACTCTGACACTGGAGGGTTCTCCTGCCTGGCAGGGAAAAGGAGAAGGCACGCCAGGACTGCTGGCCAAGAGAGCCGTGTGGGGCCGGGAAACACGGCTCATTCCTACCAGGGGAGGGAATTAATTGTTGGAGCAGCTCGTTAAGGCATTGGCAGGCTCAGCACTGACAGAGGAACTGACAGCAGACTTTTGCTAGAAGATGTTTTGCATCAAACAAGAGTTAATTTGGGGCTGTCCTGCATCACCCACACGTTTTCTCCAGAGGCAGCCCTGGGTTGGAACGGGGGGTCACAGTGTGGTCTTTGGAGCTGGGGACAGGAGCTGACCCTGCTGGTCCTGCAGGCTGTGGGCAAACACCTTGCACAGGTCTTTAGTCCATCCCTAAGTGAGGGAATCCCCTGGAGCTCTCGCTCAGTCCCCGTGCGGCTGCAACCAAATCCTGATCAAGTAACAGGCTGGGAGAGCTGGGGGGGTTCACCTGGAGAGGAGAAGGCTCCAGGGAGACCTGAGAGCCCCTTCCAGGGCCTAAAGGGGCTCCCAGAGAGCTGGAGAGGGACTTTGAACAAGGGATGGAGGGACAGGACAAGGGGGAATGGCTTCCCACTGCCAGAGGGAAGGGATAGATGGGATACTGGGAATTGCCCAGGGAAGCTGTGGCTGCCCCTGGATCCCTGGAAGTGTCCAAGGCCAGGTTGGACGGAGCTTGGAGCAACCTGGGCTGGTGGAAGGTGTCCCTGCCCGTGGCAGGGGGTGGGACTGGATGGGCTCTAAGATCCAGGCTGTAATGAGATTCCATGACAGCAGAGGCACCCGTCAGGTCTTCTCTCCTGTCACTCTCCTGATGCCATGGAGTGTGAGCAGTTCCCAGTGCCACAGCAGTAACTCTTGGCTGCTCAGGCCCGGATTAGACCCTTGATCAGACACCAGTTTCCATCGTGGCCGTTTCTTGTTTCTGACACCTGGCACCAGCAGATGTTGTCCTTATACCAACCAGTGTGTGGGATTTTCCAGGTCTGGGAACAGCACCCCTGCTCCCAGCAGATGGGCAATTAACCCCTTTACCCCTCTTTGGTAGGAAAGGTGGGAAAACCAAAATATGGCTGGTATTTCAGGGATGCTGAGTTAGCCCTGCCTGGGGTGTTTGCAGTTAACAGCCTCTTTGGGAGTGTGAACATCCAACTGCCACTCGTGGAGGTGACCTGTGCTCCCCCTCCTGCGCCCAGCGTGGTGCCAAGAGGCTGCACCTTGCCAAGTGTTTACAGTAACCCTTGGCAGGGACCCAGGGCTGCAACAAAGACATCTGCTAATCCTCAGAAATGAGCTTTCAGGAAAGAGAAGCTCGAGGGTTTCAGGGAAGCTCTGCTCCCAGCCGGGCTCTGCGAGGGGCAAACCCGCCCGTCCCGGGGGGACAGCACACCTGAGCCTCCCGAGACTGGGATTTGTCTCAGGCAGCAGCTCCCAGCAGGTTCCCTCTCTTGGATTAGTTATTCTGCAGCTCTCGTGGCCTCTGTCCTCGTTCCTGCAGCCTCCTTGCTGTGCCAGGATCAAAGGGGATCCTTGTGAGGCGTCCACGTGGGACCTGAGCTGAGCCAAGCACTCAACGCCTGAGCAGAGCTGCTCCCTCACCCCTGCCCTTCCCTCTCCTGGATCACGAGGCTGCAGGAAAATGGGACAAGGAACGAGGTGCTGGCAGCAGAAGAAAGCCTGATCCTGCTGCCATGGGATGCAGCAGCACTGTTTGTCCCCATTGGAGCCAGGTGCTGTGTGGAGTGTGGGGCTCACCAAGGCGGGATGTCCTCACACCCCCTCAACACACAAAACCAGGCAGGTGCAGCCCCTCTGCCAGGATTCAAATTCCCTCTTTGGAAACATCCATCCATACTTTTATGGCTCTGAGAGAAACAAGCCAATTTCCCAGGAAACGTGCTCAAAACCCAGACAGATCTGAAGTTTTAAGGTGCTCAAAACCCAGACAGATCTGAAGTTTTAAGGGTTTTCCTTCTCCCAAGGCTGTTGCTGCTTCCTGTGTGGTGCCTTGGCAGTCCCAGCTCCTGGGTCGGGTCCTGCTCAAGCACCACCTCCTTTGGAGAGCATTTAAAGCCTTTCCTGCTGAATCCCGGCTGGCTCCTGCACAGCTCCTCTCCCTCTCCTGGAGAGAGGCTCTCAGTGCCTCCCCGGGCTGGGAAATCACATGCTTGATGGCTTCAACATGATGTAATTGTTTTTGGAAGAGACCTGGGTTTGCTGGGGCTGGGTTTGCTGGTTTGTCAGGCAAACACGGGCACAGGGCAGGGGCCTCCTCCTGGTGCAAATATCCAGGTGCTCACTTCCAGCATTAAAAATTCCTGCAGAAATGGTTGAGAGGGGCTGGTGTGTGCAGGGACACTGGAGGATGCCCTGTGGGGGTCACAGAGACTTTTGAGTCCTCTCCGTGCACTTGTCCCCAAATCCAGGAGTGACCAGAGGCAACATCCAGCTCAGGAAGTCCCAAAGCTGCAGATTGCTGGACACCAGGAGGGTTTCCTGGGAAAGGGCTGTCCTTGGGCTCGTTCCCTGTACCCTGTTGGCTCTTTGGGGTTTCCCCCAGCACAGAGGGACCAGGAGGTGCACAGAGAGCAGCTTCTGCTGGGGAGTCCTTCCCTGATGCCAGTTGGTGACAAGGTGCTTTGCCAGATGATCTGCCTCATTAACACACCTGATTTGATCTGCCTCATTTTTGGAGCACTTTAATGTCAAAGAATGTGACCAGGGGCACAATCCCCCATCCATGTCTGCCTGCAGCTCCCCAAGGGATTGGATGGTTTGTCCTCCCTGCTTGAGACATGAAGTGGCACATGGAAGGATGTCCTGGGCAGCCACCTGCCATCCTCCACCCCTCTGTGGCCCAGCCAGAGTCCAGAGGCTCAAAATCCAGCCACAAAATGAACTTGAAATAGTTGAACAAACCTCCAGCTGACCAGCAGTTGAGAGCTGGAGTGAGCACAGCTCAGGAGCTCAGCTGGCTTGCCAGCATCATCCTGCCCAAACCTTCCTTAAGGATCCCAGAATCAGAGAAACATTGAGGTTGGAAAAGCCCTCTAAGACTGAGTCCAACTGTTCCCCCAGCTCTGCCAAGGCCACCACTAACCCATGTCCCCAAGTGCCACATCAGACTTGTGCTCCAGCCCCTCGCCCAGCTCCGTTGCCCTTCCCTGGAATGCTTTCCCTGGAAGGTGAATCCTCTGCAGTTCTCTGAGGAAAGCTCGAGGCATCCCTGGAACAGGTCCCTGTGCCATGAGCAGGCTGGGGCAGACACAGAGCAGGAGAGTTCAGGGTTGGGTTCCTTGAATTGGACACATCCAGGTGAGTGATGCTGTGGGTGGGGTGGGAGCAGGATCCACCCCACTGGCTGTGCCTTGTTTGCATGTACGTGGTGGACTCTTCACCCTTAACCAGGCAAATACAGAACATCCCAAAATTCAGAGATGGTGTTCCCAGTGCCCAGGAGCAGAGGCACCAGTCCTAAAACATGGCATCACTGGGGAAAGTGAACTTTGGATTTTTGAAAACAGCCTGTGCAGCCCTTTGGTGAGACAGGAAAGCTGCTCCCTGCCCAAGGGCCAGGGGACAGCACGTGTGGCTCTGCCTGGGCTCCTCTCTCCAGCAGTCTGGGAATGCCTCTGGCAGTGGGGGACAATGAATGTCCTGTGAGTAAGAGAGGTGCAAGATGCTTTGTATTCTCCTCAGACCTCTTTCTCTTAAGAAAGACACCAGTTTCTTTTATTTTCAGAAGTGACTTTTTAAAGTTCTGCATTTACATTCTTTTAACGAAGAACTAATTTAATAAAGAACCTCTTCCTTATCCTCACAGGGTAGGAGCTGCTTCTATCTAATGCAAGAGTTGCTGCTCTTATCTGTAATAATTCTTTGATCTGTTAAGACATGTCTGAGCCTGGTATCCAGAGAAGAGAATCAGGCTCCCATCCAAACTTGGCAAAGGAACAGCTTTTCCCTGTGATGTGTGTTGCAAGAGCATCTCGGGATCCTCTCAATGAATGGGCTCTTTTTGCAGCTGGTGTTACATGAGCCAAAAAGGAGAGTTTGTGTCTGAGTCAAAGCCCTGACAGTGTAACACGACACGAGGCAGGGCTGGGACAGAACCATCAGTTTATCTTGGGCTGCAATTCCATGTTGTGGCAGGAGCTGTTTGTTTTAATGCAGGAATTACTGTAGGAGAGGGTCAAGCTGAGACAGACATTTGATTTCGTGTCAGGACTTCGCTGATGGAGTCAGTGTGGATTCAATGAGCCTTTCCTGTTCTTTGTGCCAGCCTGGATTTGCCTCTTTCCTCCTCCTGACTGTTGGCTCTTGTTTTTCTGTTATTTGCTAAAATAAATATCCTCCAACTTCAGAATCTTCATTGGAGTCTGTGACAGAGTCACTCCTTTACCTTTTCTTAGCTAAACTCAATATGGAATCATGGAATGGTTTGGGTTGGAAAGGACCTTAAAGCCCATCCAGTCCCACCCCTGCCATGGGCAGGGACACCTTCCACCAGCCCAGGTTGCTCCAGGCCCCGTCCAACCTGGCCTTGGACACTTCCAGGGATGGGATCCCACCTGCAGACAGAACCCCATGGCCCCCAGGCTGCTTTAAGGGCTTTGTTGTTTTGAGCAGATTAAGACATAATTCCCTTTAAAGCATCCCATGTATTTTTTCTCTCTGTGGGATTAATACCAAACGTCTGATGGGATTTTTAGCCCATTTCCATTTTTACACATTTTTTACAGTCTGGTTTTGGACACTTTTGATTTATCTTAATAAACTTCCTATGCCAGGGCTGAGCCAGCTGCTATTGCTGGAGCACTGCTGCTTCAGGCGTCTGTGTACAACTGACTTTGTGCCATGTCTCTGCTCCATCCTGGGCTCTGGATAACCAGGATTCTGTGGAATTGTTGCCATCAGGATTTACTGGCAGAGCAGCTGAAGGACCCTACAAACCTTGGGATTCTCAGCCCAGATAATGCTGCCCCTGAGCTCTCAGGTTGTTTTGTTGACATTTTTGGCGTTAGGAAAACAAAGATATTCTGGGTGTTGGTTTTTGCCAGATCCTAATTTTAGCTGCAGTTCTCCTGCCTCCAACAGCCCCCGGTGGATCTGCCTGTGGATATTTCCCCAGTCACCCCCCATCTCTCTGTCAAACCTGGGGAAGGAAATAATTCTCCTTTTTATGTTCCAGGAAGAGGAATAGTTTCTTGCAGGCTCCTGTAGGGGGGGAAGACTTTGGACATGCTGCCCTTGGTCCATGCCCAGCTCTGCACCCCTGGATGTATCTCCCTCCATCTGTATTCACACATGACAGCAGGAATGAGGATCAGGCCAAGCTGGGCTCCCTCCACCGGGATCATCCTTCTCCTGGGAAGTTAAAAATGAATCACAAAGAGGGAGTTAAAGCTCTGAGGTTGGTGAAGGGTTTCTGTCTATGGGCAGAGGGGCACTGGGAAATAAAGGGAGAGAGGGAAGGACAAGTGGAGGGATGGATGGTGGATGGATGGATGGATGGGTGGGTAGGTGGATGGATGGAGGGACAGAGGGATGGAAAGATGGATGAATGGAGGGACAGAGGGATGGAAAGATGGATGAATGGGTGGATGGATGGATGGATGGATGGATGGATGGATGGATGGATGGATGGATGGGTGGATGGGTGGATGGATGGATGGGTGGATGGATGGATGGGTGGAGGGATGGATGGATGGATGGATGGATGGGTGGATGGGTGGATGGGTGGATGGGTGGATGGAGGGACAGAGAGATGAAGGGATGGGTGGATGGATGGGTGGATGGAGGGATGGAGGGATGGATGGGTGGGTGGATGGGTGGGTGGGTGGATGGTGGATGGAGGGACAGAAGGATGGAGAGATGGATGGATAGATGGATGGATGGATGGTGGATGGAGGGATGGATGGAAGTAAGACTTTGACAGTTGGAGATCAGCAGAGTTATGGGGGAGAGTATGGATGCCCAGGGGACTGAGGAGCTGTGTGGGAGACTGGGGACATCAGGAGAGGGAGGGAATACCCAGAGTGAACACTGAACAAAGCTCTGGAGCTGGACTGTGGGGGGAAGGAAAGGAAAAGCCTTTGCTTTTCTGTTTTTCTGTTTCTTGTTAGCCCTTCCCACCACTGATGAGAAGTGGGAGAAAATGCGAGACTATTTCCAACATTTTCTCCTATTTCCAATCTGATAAAATTAGTAACTGGCATTAGAACTGCAAACAAAACAAACCAGTTGTTCTGTTAATCTGTGCTGAGGAGGTCCCGGGTGTGGCAGAGGTGTTTGGGCAGGGGGAGAGCCTCGAGTGAGGCAGGAACCCGGCGGGGGGACCGGGATGAAGCGGCCGGTGTGGCAGCTCCCCCATCCCTTCTTCAGCTCCCGGGGAAGCTGGAAGGAGGCGGGGACATGGAACAGCCGGGCAGGACCGCGGTGGAAGCGTCTCCAGCAGGGAGCAGCTGCTGGGCTTTAACTGAGAGCATCGGAAGGGCTGCGAGAGCAGAGAGAGCCGCTGGGATCGCGGAAGGGTCAAGTGGAGGTCGGGGCTGGGCTGAAAGGGGACATTCCAGAGGGGAGGCCGCACAACAGCTGAGCCCGCAGGGCTCCCTGTGCCGGCCCTCCCTGGATTTCCTCCGCTCTTGGACCGCTCCCTGAGTCCTGCTGCCCACCCGAGCGGGTGGGAGGGCTGCGAGCAGCTCGGCCTCGCAGGAAGGTGAGCAGGACTTCCAGGAAGCTGGAGGAGGTTTTCCTGAGGGGCAGGGGAGCCGAGCGCCTCTCACACGGGTGTCTCGTAACCAGGTCCCACGTTCTGGCGCTCAGCAGCCCCTGCAGAGCTGCAGTGGAGCAGTGTGGGCTCAGTCCCATGAGTTTGTTGTCCATCTGATGTGTTCCAAGCCCACAGGTGCCGGGAGCACAGGGCTCCCCAGCCCTTCTGCTCCACGCAGCACGAGCTGGGGCCAAGGGCTGACTTTGGAAAGGAACTGCTGTCCCCAGTCCCTCTCCAGCTCTCTGGGAACCCCTTTAGGCACTGCAAGGGGCTCTAAGGTCTCCCTGGAGCCTTCTCCTCTCCAGGCTGAACCCCAGCTCTCAGGAGAGGTGCTCCAGCCTGTGGCTTCACTGCCCAGCAGGGATGACAAAGCCTTGTCCAAGATGCAGGATCACAGATGGGATGCTGTGCATCTTCCTGCCTCCCTCCGGACTGAGGAAAGAGAAATGGGCATGAAAATGGTCATTTGTTCATATATTGGGTCCTTATTGCTCCTAGTCATGACCATTGATAATATATATTTATATAATAGATATAATGTTAATATAAATGGTCATATTATTCATATAAATGGTCCTTTATTCATATATTATGGTTCCCTGGGAGTGTCCAAGGCCAGGTTGGATGGGGCTTGGAGCAACCTGGGATAGTGGCAGGTTGAGTTCTCAGTCCTTGATCTCTACACAGCAGTGAAGACAAAGCTCCTGGAGATGCTGGTCTAAAAATCCAGCACCCTTTTCCCTCCCAAAAGGACTGATATGTAGATCCAAGTGCTAATGAATGAAAGTTGTGGCTGGGATGTATTTTGGACAAATGGCTACAAAGAGCTGAGTTATAGCCAGCTCCTTGGCAGGGAGGTGTTGCTCATTTTGGGTTAAGGAGTCACCAGTTAAAGCAAAGAGTATTTCATCAAACAGAAATTTGATGTCAGCCCCTTAACTTCTTACAATTCATGAGTTTGATCTCTCCAAACTACATATAAAGAAGTTCTTTTTAAAAAGTGACACTTCAATTTTTCATTTACTGCTTAATTCTCAGAGCTGGGACTTAAAAATAGCATATGGATATTGCAATGTTCTGACAAAGATCTGGGGCTTATTTTCTGATATATCCTTAAACATCTGAGGTGTTGTAAGGTTGTGGTGAGTGACATCTGTTTCTGATGACTCCCAGAAAAGTGATTTTTAGGGAGCTGAGTTTGGAAAGCCTTTAACCCTTTGAGGAATCATCACAAGAGAAATTCTGTAATCTCCAAGAACAAGAACGCTCAAATTTCCTCAAACTGAGCAGCCAAGACCCAAAACTCAGGGGCTGCTTTTAATAATCTTGGCTTTATCTTCCCAGTGCTCATTTCCTCTTTGATCTGGTGCCTCTGCAGGACAATCTGATAAAGGCTCAGCTCCACCCACGTTGGTGAAGCCCTGAAATCCCCAACTGACCCCGCAGCAGGGAGGGAAAATCAATGTTTACTCGGTGCTCTGCCCACAGATGAGCACAGGGAGTTGAGCCCTGGCCCAGCTCCCCTCGCTCTGCTCCGGCTCCTCCCGGCAGGACACGGGGCTGGAGAGCAGGGCCATGTGTTTCCTGGTGATAGAACAGAGCCCAGAGCAGAACTTGCTCCGAGACACCAGCGGTTGGTTCATATTTTGGCAGAGAGGAGAGGAAGCTGCACAGCAGCGTGTTCCCTGCAGGGCCAAACTCCAGTAATTGGAGCTGCCTGGCACTCAAAAGAGCCGATGAAAAACTTTGGGAAGCCACTGAGGTTGTTCCTTATTTTCACAGGGGCAAGCCTGGAATGTGCCATGAAGTTGGGAGGAATTGTAGTGTAACCAAGATTACAATAGAATCAAACCCATTCTGCAAAGGCCTGAATTTGTTTGTTTATTCTCACATCCCCCACCCAGGGAGGTGAATTGAGCCCATTTCCAAAGCCAGGAGTCACTTCTGTCACAGAATCACAGAATATTCTGAGCTGGAAGGAACCCCCAAGGATCATCCAGTCCAACCCCTGGCCCTGCACAGACACCCCAACAATCCCACCCTGTCCCTCAGAGCGTTGTCCAAACCCTCCTGGAGCTCTGGCAGCCTTGGGGCCGTGCCCACTGCCCTGGGGAGCCTGGGCAGTGCCAACCACCCTCTGGGGGAAGAACCTTTCCCTGAGATCCAACCTGAGCCTGCCCTGGCACAGCTCCATGTTGACCTCTTCTGCAAAGGCCCAGACAAACACTCCTGTGCCAATCACTCAGATAAGGGCTTGGAAAACCTTGGGCTCTGTTTCCAGCAGAGGAGTGGCCTCAGTGCTGGGTTGCTCTGCTGACTGTGCTCTAGATCAAGACTTGCCTGATACAGACCTTGCTTGAGGAGATCCATTCAGTTTTAAATGATCCATTCAGTTTTAAATGTACCCATCTAGGTGTCTTCAGCTCCTTCTCAATAAGAAAGGGATATTACAAACCTGCTTTTATAGAGAGGATGTTTATATATTTACATGTGATGGTTTTTAAACATCAGCACCCAAGCACTTCAGTCAGTGCACTCTACAGAGACCCTACTGGTGGAATTTCTAGTATATATATGTATCTCTATGACATATATACTCTATATATCATATATATATATATATATGATCTTTAAGGTCCCTGCCAACCCAAACCATTCTCTGATTCTATGATTAGGAAGAAATTCCTCCCTGGAAGGGTGGTAAGACCCTGGCACAGGTTGCCCAGAGAAGCTGTGGCTGCCCCTGGATCCCTGGAAGTGTCCAAGGCCAGGCTGGACAGGGCTTGGAGCAACCTGGGCCGGTGGAAGGTGTCCCTGCCCATGGCAGGGGGTGGCACTGGATGGGCTTCAAGGTCTCTTCTAACCCAAACTATTCCATGATTCTATGATATCTATACACAAATATAAAGAATGAGAGAAAAGCAGTTACCATCTGTTTTACATGGAACTGAAACAAGGAACTAAGAAATTAGTCAAGGATCATAAATCAGTTGAAAATTAAAGCAAACTCTCTTTAGTACTTCTTTGGTCTGGGCAGGAAAGTGCTCTGAGATCTGTTGATAAGAGTGGAACAAAGCACTGATATTCCTAAGGCAACATGTTCAGCTCCATGAGGTCCAAAGAGCTGGAAGAGGGGAGTTTTTCCACTCTTCCTGCAATAATCCTGGTGCAATTCTCCTCCCATTTACTCTTCAGCAACCCACCCCCAGTCTGCAAGCTGAGTCTGCCCCACAGGCTCCTTACCTCGTGTTTACTCACGGGTTAAGGCCTGGAGTACGCAAGGCACAAAGCACGCCTGCCTCGTGTGTGGGAGTAAATGTCATATCCCACTGCACAGGGTATTTATAGCACGGCACTATTTGGGAAGTGAAACTTTTCGACGGTGAACTGTTCGAGCCGTTGCTTCAGGGTGAAGTTTTGAGGAAGGAAACAGCCCAGAGCCCGCTGGACACCGCGGCTCCAGGTGGCTCCGAGTGTCACAGCCAGAGCAGCGGGGCCTGAGTGAGGCCACCTCGGCTCTGGGGGCTCCAGGATCCCCTTGGAGGGAGTGTCTCTGCAGCTGGCACATCAATCCTGTGTCCCCACCAGAGGACGGAGCGTTGTTACCACAGTTCCTGGTGGAGGAGCTCTTCCCATGGACAAAGTCCCCACGAGACAGGCCTGTGTCTTCTGGAGGCTGCCATCTACCCAGACCCCCAAGTCACTCCACACAGGTTCTCCAGGGTAGCTGCCCGTGGCCAGACACCAAACTCCAACACAGCCTGAAGGAGGGGAGACCTTCACCCAAGAACAGTGACTCTGGGACTGCCAGCACTCAGTGACCCCCACATCTCCTGTGCTCAGGAGGGCTGGACTTCGGCTTCTAGGAGAGGGATTAGGACAAGAGAGCATGGACTGTGGCTGCAGAAAGTCTGGGGTGGCAGGGGGAAAAGTGGTCAGAATTCTGCTTTTAAAATGGTGCCATGCCAGCGGGGCTGGTGGGATGATACAGATCAGCTGTTCCCATCCCTAGATCCAGACTGAAGCTGTCCAGGGCCCGCTGGTCCGAGTCCTTGTGTTGTAACACGCAGCTCTTGGCTCACACCTCGAGCACAAACGTGGAGTAGCACACTGAAAGCTCCAAGCTGTGTCTGCCCAGTGTCCCAGAGTGGATCCCCGTGCTCCAGCCAGGCAGGAACAAAAGGCCTCTGTGAGGCTGTGTGTGCTCTCTGAGCTGTGACTGCAATCACACAAGCAGGTCTTGACATTACTGGGTCAGCCCGAGGAAGGACTCTGCATGTTTTGCAGCAATCATTAATGCAGCCATTGGTGTGTTAACCCTCCAGCCCGAGTGCCGGGCACGCCCTGGGTGATTTACACAAACAGCAGCGCAGCTGTATTTGCATTTGCTCCGTGCGAGCTTGTCTTGAGAGCGACTTGTGGCTTTGATTGCTGCAATAGAAACCGGAGCCGGCCCTACGCGGGGACCACGCTGGGGACAGAGCAGAGCCCGGCCCGGCCGGGGGGATGGACACGCCGTGCTCCCGCCCTCCTCCCAACGCTCTGCCCGGGCTGCAGAGGTACCTGGAGCTCGGACAGATCCCTGCGTGCTCCTGCTGCTCCCAGCTCTTCCCATCTCCGAGCTGCACACCAGGAACGCGGCTGGCTGACTGCAGTGCCATTGTTACACTGGGACGTCCTTTACAGCTCCAAGAGTGACAACTGCTCTGCCAGTGAGACTGAGACCGTGGATTCGTTTCACACAACTCACCCACAAAGGAAACACAGAGTGTTCTGGATTTAAGGGTTGAACCTGGGCTTGGAACAAGCTCCACATGTGCTTCTCTCCTCCTCCTGTCCTCCCTCTTCACCAACTCCAGTGGAAAGTGTGGCTTGTTCAAAACCCATAACATGAGTATTAAGGTCCTTTATATTTTGTCAAAAGCTTTGTTTGCTCTTCCTTCCACTTCCTTTATTGTGATAAAAAGATCAAGGTCATAAATACCTCTAAATGCAACATCACAATCACCTCAACTATTCTGGTGAAAACAACCTCAGACTTTTAAAGGCAAATTACGTCAAATGTTGTCAAATTATCTAAACTTCTGAGAAGCACTGCATGTAAAGATGATTCCAGTTGTTCTTTATCTTGTCCAGCAAACATCCCATTTACACTTTAATCAATTCCACAAGTACTGGAGCAACCTGCAGGAAAGCCTGTTGACTACAACATCCCACAGTGACCTACCATGACAGGTTCACTTAACTCAGGGTTTCTACCCAGAGTTAAAAGGGCAGCGGGGGATTATTCTGCAACACAATATTGAACCATACGATGGTTCAGAGTGGAACAGACCCCTAAGATCATTGAGTGCAACCCACACAGCTCTATTCCCTTAGCAAAGAGTTGTTAGGACTGAAAATTTATTTCTGAACTATGTGAAGAGGCTGAGCAAGATGCCCCTGCACGGAGCCAGTGTACGCTGAAGGTGACGGAGTCCAAATCCAGAGGGAATAAGCAATGGAAGAAATTCTTAAACGGGGCTTGGAGCAACCTGATTTAGTGAAGGTGGGACTGGATGGGCTGTGAGGTCCCTTCCAACCCAAACCATTCCACGATTCTGTAAGTACATCAGAGTCCTTTCCTGAAAGCTCTGAAATGACCTCTGAAATTATTTATTTCCCGTGGCTCCCACCTCCCTGGGGCACGGACCGAGTCACCCACCCCACCCCTTCCTTTGGTGTCAAAGCAAAGAATAATAACGGTACCTGGGCAAACCAGAATGTGAATAACCAGCTGTCACTTACTGGGGAGCATTAGAGGCTACGGGAGGGGGAGGAGGGAATCCATCAAAGTTATCACAAATTTACACAAGTGAAAATAGCGGGACTGACACCTCTGACCCCCCAGAGCCACGGCGGGGGCAGTGCCGGCACCGAGGGACACGCTCCCTGCAGCCCTTTCACCGGGAAACGGCCACGCAGTCTTAGAACAGGGAAAAATAATAAAATGAATGGGAAGTCTCAGCTTCTGGAGGCAAACGCGGTGTAAGGGGTGAGGCTCAGGCGGCTGCTGACAGGCAGAACGCGCTACTGCGGTACCGAGGTACCACCAAGGCGGCTTCGAGGTGGTACCGACGTGGCCTCAGGCGCCTCCCACCCCCGGCAGAGAGACTCGAGGGACGCGGCGACACCCGGGACCGGCCGGAGCCGCCGCCAACATGGCGGACGATCGTGAGGGGGGCCCGCCCCCGCGGCCGAACACGCATGCGCAGCGCGGCGGCTCCCGGAGGGACCGCGGGGGGGGCGGGCCCTGCTTGGCAGGAAGCCCCGCCCACTTCTGGGAAACCCGGGCGGCTGGGGGCGTGGCCGGAGGGCGGGAGACGCGCGGTAATTGGGAGCGACGGACGCCGGGGCGGGGTCTGGAAGGCAGACCGGGCTGTGATTGGCTGCGCGGCGGAGGGGGCGTGGCCGACGCCGGGCACCGCCTGTCAGTGAGCGGGAGCCGCCGAAGAGGCCTGAGGGGCCGCGGGGCCGGGCTGAGCTGAGCCGGGCACCGGTTTGGGCTGTGCCGAACCCAGCCGTGCCGGAGCGGTAGGTGCGGGCCCGGTGGGGGTCCGGGGGGCGGTGTTCGGTGCGAGAGCCGCGGCGGTAGGGCCGTGCGGAGCTTCCGCGGCCGCCGGCGGGAGCAGCGTGTGAGGGGAGCGAGCCCCGGGCGGGCGGCCCCGGGCGGGTCCGAGCGGCTGAGGCGCTCTCCGGGACCCGCCGCAGCGCTCTGTGTCTGTGTGTGTGTGTTCGGAGCCTGGATGTCACTGCCCTGCCCGGCACGTCCTCGGTCCCGGGCTCCTCATGCCCCGAGCTCCCGATTCCCTGGGCTCCCAGTTCCATGGGTTCCCCCATTCCCTGAGCTCCCGGTGCCCTGAGCTCCTGATTCCCCGATTCCTGGTGCTCTGATCTCCCTGCGTCCCGGGCCCCCCGATTCTCTGATCTCCCGGTGCCCGGCAGTTTCCGGATCCCTGAGCTCCCGGTGCCCCGAGCTCCCCAATTCCCTGGATTCCCGATTCCCTGGATTCCCGGTTCCCTGGATTCCCGATTCCCTGCTCTCCCGCTGCAGAGACTTCGCCGATCCTTGGCTCTGGGGAAGGTAGGACGAGGCAGAGCCAAGCTCAGCTCATCCCAACACAACCGAATCCCCCGCTCCGCTCTCGCTCTGAGCCTCACCCCTCTCTGTGACACAACTCATTTTTTAATTTTATTTTTTTTTTTTTTTTTAGTTTTTGTCTGGCTAAAGGTTAAAATGTTTCTTTGCTGATTAATAAGTTGCTGCTGTGGTTGATCTCAGATGCTTCCTGTCCGCTTTAACGGGTTGCATTAGAAACATGTGTTGGGTGCTGTGCACATGTAGGGCAGAGCAGTGTGAAACCAGCACCCATAAACAAAGTCTGAATTTCTTTTTCGACTGCCTTTCTGAACCCTTTCATGAGTAATAACTCGCACTTGTGTGCTGTGACATTAGTGATAAGAATAGTCGTGTCTGTAGTGAGCTGCTTTATTGCATTTTACCTCAGTTGAAATCTGTTATTGGCACGGCCACTGGATTCCTTGGGAATGAGTCACTTGCTATTAACTATTAAATTTTAACTGTATTAAGAGGCTGAATCTTGAAGCCGTGAAGAAGGAGCATAACAAATAAACATATAACAACCGAAAACTGAAAGAATTTGTGGGACCTGATCCAGCATCACTGGAATTAATGAACTTGGAGTTAATGAAGATCTGTCCTGAGCCTTCTTCCCGTGTTGAATGTGGGAGGGCAGAGCTGAGCTGCTGTAACAGTGATGTGGTGCTGAATTGTTACTGTGGCTGCCAAGAGGATGGAGGCAAAGGCACCAGAACCCTTTTGCTTTCCTTCTGGGACTTTTCAAGTTTGCTGGCAAGTGTCAGATGTGTTGGTGGAGACAGAGGGATCCAGGGCTGGAAGACAGAAAGATTCCCATGTTCCAAGAGGAGCAGCTGGCTGGGAGGAAATGAGACCTGAGTTAGGAAAGGGTCTGGAGATGCTGGGAAAGGGAGATGGGGAGGATGTGTGGAGGGACCAGGGGGAGGCCCAGGAGGGCCAGACATGTGGGAATGGAGTCTGTGGGGCACTGGGCTTTGCTGGTCACAGGTTAGTGACATCAGGGCCCTGCAGGGCCTGCAGAGCGTGGACCTTGTCTTGCCTAGAGACAGTTCTGTTCCACAATCCATATGGATGTGTCCCACTTTGTCCCACGGGATTCTGCTCAGGCTGGACAGTTAGAAGCCATTCCAATCAGCTCAGATTTCTGCTTTACAGTGTAAAATCATCACAACTGAATTTGCGGGACCAGTCATAAATTAAGATCACATAGAACTGCTTCCATCTATACTAAATGTATCTAAACTTCTGGGTTTGCCTGGCATTCCAGCCTTACTGCTTCCCTGGAGATTTACTGATTCCCTGAGTTTTATAATTGTGATGTAAATTTTATAAATCTAGATTTTATAAATGAGATGTAAAGTTGCAGAGCAATGTGAAGTGACAACTGATGAGAGTTCAGCCCTGCCTGCTTGGGCAGAATTGATTATCATGTGTGTTTGTGGTGGTTGGTGGAAGTTGTCCCTTTAGGTGCTTTATTGTGTCATTTTGTTATAGTTTAGGAAATAACTTCACAAGTGAGTTGTCAAGGCCAGGATGTCATTAAGCAGTGGCCTGAGAGCAGCTGGGAAGCAAATCCTTGCCAGGCTGAAGTTTGTTCTGATTCTTTCTGTTCTCCTCCTTTACAGAGCAGCTGGGGAAAAATTAGCCACTTCTTTGAATGAATGGGGTTGTGGTGGTGTTTGTAAACCCTGGACAAATGGTGTTATTCATATCTTTGTTCAGCAACATGAAAAGAATTGTTCAGGGCTGAGCTGTAGTCGAGGAAATGAGCAGAGGTGGGTTTGGGTGCTTTGAGAAATTCTGCCGATGGTTAAACCCAGCCCAATATTTCCCCGCAGATTTTGTAACCAAACTATTGCAATATCTTAATGTCTGGCAAGTCAAAAGGCAGTCGAGGCTCATTATCCTGATGTTTACAGTAAGCAACACCAGTGGCTGAAGCGGGATTTGGAAATATTTACTATCAAACCACTTTAAAGAATATGTTTACATACTTCCTATCGTCTGTAGCGTTGACTTACTCATGCTTAAGGCCGATAGTGAAATGCTTCAGGCAGGCAGTTCTGGGGGGGTTGGGTAGGAGGTTTAGCTTTCCCTGGAAAATACGAGTGCAAGAGGGCTTGGATACACGGGAGGGACCGAGGGGGTGGAACAGGACCCCGGTGGGTCAGTGGTTATCCAAGTGGAGGTGAAGGCTCAGAGCACCCTGGAATAGCAACTGCTGCTCTGACTCACCAGGATTTTAATCAGTCAGGCATTCTATTTATTTTCAGTTTGGAGCTCTTAGATACACAAGGGAAGTCTCTTTTCTTTTCCCTCTTAAAGCAGCATTAAGTGTGTTTTGAGGTTGGGGGGGTGGTGGTGAGTGCTACAACTTTTTTTATTAAGTCCCTTCTGACACAAAGTGAAACTTCTCCTGCTGACAGCACTGAGCAGTTTAAATCACCAGCCCAGGCCTGGGCACAGGAACAGCCTTAAACTGCCTCTGCTGAAAAAGGAACTGTCTGAATTTCAGTTCCATCTGAAACATGGGCAGGGAAGGGAGCTCCTGGATAACATCCAGGCAGGGAGAGAAGGGTGGGGAGGGATGAAGGGAAGCAGTGCCTGGGGTTTGAAGGGGTTCTACACAGAACCATGGGATGGTTTGGGTTGGAAGGGACCTTAAACTCATCCAGTTCCACCCCCTGCCATGGGCAGGGACACCTTCCACCAGCCCAGGCTGCTCCAAGCCCCGTCCAACCTGCCTTGAGCACTTCTATCTATCTATCTATCTATCTATCTATCTATCTATCTATCTATCTATCTATCTATCTATCTATCTATCTATCTATCTATATCTATATATATTCACACATTCTTTGGGCCCCGAACCAGATTTTTAATGCAATCCATCCATTTAACAGGTGCCACCTTATTTTTTTTTTCCTTTGGAAAAACCTGTTCCTTGACAAGGTTTGATTAGCTGACAGTTTTGATTATATGATGATTTTGCAGTCAATTGTCTGGGTAAGTTTCTGGCTGCAGATTTGGCACTTTCTCCAGTGTTCCCTGACAGCTGTTAGCACTGGAAGGTCCCCAGAAGGTGTGTGTTCTTCTCAGCTGGCATTCCCTGCTCTGGTGATGCAGAAATTCCTGGCTCTTCCCAGCTGCTGCTTTGTTGTGGTGGTCAGCAAAGCAACGTGGCTAAAAATGCTCCTTGTGTTTGAGCAAAGCAGCAGCAGCTGCAAAGGCAACCTGAGTTAGTGCTCTGTGCTTAAAACTCCTCTCAATAAGGAAGTGGGAAACCTCACTGAGATAACATGAATTTTTTTTTCTCTTTTTTTTTTTCCCCCCTTCAAACTAAATGTCAGTTTGAAACTGTCTCTGAACGGTTGCACTCA